CTTACAGAGTCATCTAGTTACCCACTCTGGAATTAAGGCATACAGCTGTGACATTTGCGGAAAAACCTTCAGTCGGATAGGGAGCCGAAATATACACTTACGCATTCACACCAGACATGATGTGTACAGCTGTGATCAGTGTGGCAAACACTTTGCTAAACACGCACACTTACAACGCCACATGTTTACCCACACTGAGGAACAACCTTATAAATGTGACCTGTGTGAGAAGGCTTTTAAATCTCCACATTACCTGAGAGAACACCAACAGATCCACACCAGAAAGAGACTCTCCAAGTGCAGTTACTGCGAGGTATGTATTTATATTTTTATCTTGTCATTTTAGCCTGACTGTTTGGAACAACTCATTAAACTGTGTTAGCATGTTAGCAATTCTACTGCATGGAAAAGCAGCTCTGAGTGATTATTACGTCCCATATTGATTACTGTAATTCCCTCCTATTTGGTCTCCCTAAAAGGTCCCTTCATAAACTCCAACTTCTTCAAAGATTCTGCAGCTCGGGTCATAACTTGCACTCCCTCAAGAGCTCATATTACCTCAGTTCTTCAGCAGCTTCACTGGTTGTCCATAGAAGCCAGGATACATTTTAAAATCTTACTTCTTTCATACAGGTGTATCCATAAATCTGCTCCTTCATATTTGTGTGACCTGCTCCATATCACCACTGTTTCCTGCCTTCTCAGATCATCATCTGCTATTCATCTTACTGTTCCGTCCTCACACCTTAGTACTATGGGGAAAAGAGCTTTCAGTCGCTCTGCATTCAGTTATGATTTTAGTATTAATGTAGTATTATGGTGGTAGTATTGTAGTTTTTACAGTTTTTACAGAGTGTGTTAACTGAAACAGTAAAATGTAATTGGACGTCTGCAGAATGCTCTTTATTTCAGGCGATGTTCAGGATAAAAATGTTGAAGGACTGACTTACACTGTCTTTGTGTCTTTGTTTAGAAGCAGAGCGACACAGATGGATCCAGTTCTCAACCCTGTCATCACTGTGGTGGTGGGAAAGACTTTCGTTGTGACCTCTGTGGGAAAACTTTCAGTCAGCAAAAGACCCTAAAAATACATCAACGTAGACACACTGGAGACAAACTGAAATACTGCAAAGAATGTGGGAGAAGCTTCAGCACATCAAGTAGATTAAAACAACATGAACTCATTCACAATGGGGTTAAAAAGTACATCTGTGATCAGTGTGGGTCATCTTTCATTACTGCAGGTCATCTTAAAAAGCACAAACGTGTCCACACAGGAGAGAAACCATACAAGTGCAGACACTGTGACAAAAGCTTCTCATATTCAGATAATCGTAACAGGCATGAACGTACACACATGGAAGGAAACTACAGCTGTGACCAGTGTGACAAGAGCTTCAGGAATCTCAGTTCATACTCCGAACACAAACGATCCCACATTACTAATAAACTGTTTCACTGTTACCAATGTGCCAAAACATTCACCAAATTATCTGCTCTGTGCAAACATCAGCGTGATCACTCAGGGCTGAAATCACTCCCATCACAGTGAATCTGAAGAGACAGAAAGATCCTCTTCTGGTTTGAGGGTCAGACTCATTTAGCTGTGAATGAACATGTTCCACTAGTTACATTTACTGTCTGTCTGTCTGTCAGTATATGTGTGCATATGTGTGCATCTAAACTACATGTTTAAAACCAAAATTTTTTTTCAAATATTATGTACAATTATATTAATGAAGTATGTGCCACTTGTTGTACGACCATATGGTGATCACTAACATGCAGTAATGGGTTCAATAAGTAACCTTTGATTGTGTTATGGCCACCAGTGACAAGCGCAAACATGGTTAATTCAACTTGGCCCTGCTAAGTGTGCACCTGGGACTCTTTCTCTCTGTTCATCTTTATTGCCCCATGATGTGTCCTGTGTTTCCAAGGCCTATATGGTAAACAAACCTGGCCCACGGGGAATGCACCTGGGATTGTTTTTTTTTTCACCTCAGCTGCCAGAAGATGAGGAAACCACTTTCTTATCATAGATAGTAGTCTACTTCTGGCAAGCAAACTCGAAAAAATTGTCAAAATGATTAACTATTAACTGCTGTTTTGAAGACTCACTTTGGCCATAAAACTGACAAAGGGACAAAATTAAAAATAATGGATCCTTGGACTGGCACTCAGAAAGTTATGTAAAAAAAAAAAAAGAAGAAAAGACTTATGTAACAGAAGTGTAAGATTAAAAGAAAATCGGCAGTGCGCCTTATAATCTGGTGCTCCTTATATATTAATTCTGGCTGTGTTTTTAATGACCTCGACCTGATTTTATGTGGTACACAGCGCTCAAAAATCTGTCAAAAAATGTTTTAGTGTGACTTTGCTAAGCTACGAAGCCGCACCACTTGATGGATTGTTTGAGTGTTATGGCTACCGTAGTCAGGAGCCTCGCGACTCATAGTAATCTGGGTCCAAAACTCTGTCCGCTTCAGGTCCCAAAGTCAAACGAACACCACAGCGTCACTGAGTGTTAAAAACTGTCTAAATTCTTTCATCTTTAATAAAATGATCAGTGTTGTTGCTTTACCAGGTGTAACAATTAAGTTTAACATCCAGGCATCCATGAAAACAGAAGTTATTAAATTTAATGCCATTCAAAGTTAGCAGGAAGTTAGCGGAAAGTTAGCTTGCTGGTTTCATTAGTTACCTAAACATGATATACTATGTTCTGACTGAGAGATTTCTGGGCAAAAATAAAACGTACAGCTCTGTTATCACTTCCAACATAAATGAAGACAGAAAACTA